CAGTGGAACAGAAGTTGCCTCCAGAAGCTGTGAATACCCCAACACCGGAAGTCTTTAAGAAGATGTCGGATAACCATTTGTCTGGAACGGTGTAGGGTTTCCTGCCTAAGCAGGGGGTTGGACTAGTAGACCTCCATGGTCCCTTCCAACTCTGCTATTGTATTGTATTGTATTGATTAACATACCAGCCCTATTATTCTGGTCTGGGACCTGGGAACGTGCCCTCTCCTTAAAGTGAAAACTCAATGTGCATTTTGCACTGTAGGAACTCTCTTCATGGCGCTCCCCAAAATAATATGGGTCCAGATTGGAGTCCTCATAACATTTGCCCTGCCGCAAAACAAACAACCGAGACTTTAATTTCCCTTCAATAAAACCACACTGCATTTTTTTTTAATCATGTTGCTCACATGATACTTTTTTTTTTTTCCAAACTAGGCCCTCCTCCACCTTGGGAAAAACCGATTCAGGGCTACCAATGTAGCACCCCAAATCGTCGTGAATGTCCCTGAAACAAAAGTCTCGACTCTGGACAATGGCCTGAGGGTAGCTTCTGAAGATTCCGGACTTACAACATGTACAGTAAGTAACCGACATGGGCATCTGGCTTAAGGAGCTCTATGACTTACGACTAAAATTCCAGGTTCAATTGTGGCCGTAAATAGTGGCCTTAAGTGACTGATCTGTTAGCAGAAAGAACATTTTCTCCTGACGCCTCTTGTCCCAATCAGCTTCCGTAGCACATTCCGGGAGGGACTATGCTCATACAAAATTCTAAAATTTGATTAGAATTAGAATTGGAAGAATGGAATGGAATCGGAAAATGAAAACAATAGAATAGAGCCTAGCATAGCATAACTCTGGAATGTCTCAAGCAATTTCAAGCAAACTTCGTTTCATAAATGATTTACCTTTTGGAGAAAAATACTGTGGGACTAAGACACTCCTAAAACCCCTTGGGACAGGGGTGGGTTCTGGATCCCGTTGCAACCGGTACGCTGCGACGGGGCTGGGAATGCACATCACTGCCCTGCTCGGTGGAGCATGGCACAGATGCCGGGCGCATGCGCAAATAGCCCGGTTGGGTCAAATACAGGTAAGGAGGGTGGGCAGGTGGGCCCTCCGAAGCACCGTACCGGAATGGTACCTGTGCTCCGAGCAGGCACCAGTACGCCTGTACCGGGGTGTACCGGCCGTAACCCAACACTGCCTCGGGATGTTTGTTATGTTAAGATACAGCCTGTTATACCTGAAAATGGCTTCTACTGAACAGCGCAGTGGAGTTGGCATGGTAATGGCTTCACAGTACTCCACAAGGGGGCTCTGTCTTGTAAGGAGGAAAATCCCAATATTAGAAATTACATTTGGTCCGGACATTTTCCTCCTATAAATACCTGGGCATGGAATATAGAATCAAATTGGAATGGGAAGAGATGGGAAGGAACAGGAACAGAATGCTTTATTGTCCAAGTGTGATTGGACAGACAAGGAATATGTTTCTGGTACATAAACTCACAATGTACATATAAACATCAAGTAATAGTTCTTAGATCATAAATCATAGTTACAAGCATTAATCATACGTTACAACAATTGATAAATCATAAGAAACCAATAGAAGAAGATAGTCGGAAAGATGAGAAGAGAGAGTGTTCAGTCGTTTTGACGAAGATTTTAACCACCGAAACAAAAATCAGTTTCTTCAGCATCTATTGAAGCTGGATTTTATTCTTTTAGTAAAAAAAAAACCCCACATATGTGCTTTTGAATCAGGTGGGACTTTGGATCGATGCCGGAAGCCGATATGAGAACGAGAAAAACAACGGGACGGCTCATTTCCTGGAGCACATGGCTTTTAAGGCAAGTTCTCAAACATAACATTTCTTTTTTTTTAAAAAATATATTTTT